TGGGGAGAAAGAATCAATTCAGAAGACTCTACTCGTATCGAACGATGCTGAGGACTCTTTCGAACAGAAACACCGCGAAACAGCGTCCATTTTATACCTTTACTCTTCACACAAACAATAATAATAACTATACTGATATTTATTAGCTTTTAAAAAATTGAATTTCATAGGGAATTTATTCTGGGGAGAAAGAATCAATTCAGGAGTTTCTGCTCGTATCGAACGACGCTGAGGACTCTTTTGAACTGAGAAATAGCGTCCATTTTATATCCTTGCTCCTCAAACGAACAATAATAATGGACACAGTGAAATTTGTTAACTTTTAAAAGATTGAATTGCATAGGGAATTCATTCTGGGAAGAAAGAATTCCTCCAGCTTGGTAAGAAATTGTCTGACATTGTTTACATTCTACTTACTCGCGAAACCACATTCCCCTTAAAGACTTCGAACCTTGTAAGGAGCTGATAATTGAAAGATTAATTAAGACTTTACCATTTACGTTTTACTGTCATTTTTATTTTGATGTTTAGATCGTCGTTGGCGCGAAAAACGAGACCCTAATATTATTATTAAGAGGAAATTTGAGATCTCCTTTTGTGAATTTTATACTCGATGAATTAATAGAGAAAACACATGTTCCGTGACACGCAGTTCTCGAATGGCAAACTCATCTCGTCGATTGTGTTCCGAATAAATGTCAGAATCTTTTCTCTCGTACGATAGAAATCCGTTTTTCTCATAAAATGCGTTTTCACGATAGAAACTACCATTAATCATATATGTATATGATAATACAAAATTTTGACCAAAGATGAAACAATCTTTTCTAAACATCACTGAATCTCAACTCCATCCATAAATTTTCTATATTAAAATTTACATCTTTCAATTTATTTTAAATAAGTAGAAAATTTTAACCCTTTGCACTCCGAATTATATTTGAATTTTGTTACCAGCAGCTTCCAACTAACTAACTAACTAACTAACTGCAAACTAAGTAACTAACTAACTTACAAAATAGCAAACTAACTGCAAACTAACTCACTAACTAACTAACTAACTATCTAACTACAAACTAACTAACTAACTAACTAACTAACTAACTGCAAACGAACTAACTAATTTACTTACTAACTAACTAATTAACTAACTTACTAACTAACTAACTACATGCAAACTAATTAACTAACTAAGTAACTGCAAAATAACTAACTAACTAACTAACAAACTAGACACTAACAAATTAACAAACTAACTAACTAAATAACTAACTAACTAACAAACTAGACACTAACAAACTAACTAACTAACTACATGCAAACTAATTAACTAACTAACTAACTGCAAAATAACTAACTAACTAACTAACAAACTAGACACTAACAAATTAACAAACTAACTAACTAACTAACTAACTAACTAACAAACTAACTAACTAACTGCAATTATTTATTTGAAATTTACGTTAGCTAAAAAGTAGGGCAAATTAAAACAAATTCAATTAAATATCTGTTTTATTTACATTATTTATTTGAAATTTACGTTAGCTAAAAAGTAGGGCAAATTTAAACAAATTCAATTAAATATCTGTTTTATTTACATTATTGTTGTATTTTTTAATTTTCAAGTGTATGATATCTCCACGGTTTGGACTTGAAAAAAATGTCTGAGATAAAAATTGTTAAGAAAATATATAGTTAAGAAAAAAAATTTGCCACAAGTGAACTGAACATCTCGAAAAATCCCATTAAAGTGCCCTAATAACAAAACTACAATAATTTCCACCTCGTGGGCAGCGAAAGGTGTTGCAATACTTTGTTAATAATTAATAATCGCAAACTCCATAGCTCGATCATCGCGTAAACCACTTCCCGACTAATCTGTAACACTTTATTCTTTTAATCGATCGTTCGACAAACAATATTTCCAAGAGAGCAATCTAGTTGTTTTTTTTCATTTTAATCATCGACGCCCCGCGCTGAAGGAACGTTTCTACATGCGTCACGATGTAAAATTTTAAATTCAAATGGGAGATTTCAATTTCCGATTAACGCGGCAAGAAAAATCGTCCGCGGACACGGGAGACCCGATTTGCATATCGCGTACTTCGTCGTCTTGTTAACCTTTTTCTTTCTGGACGAATAAAAAAAAAGTGGGGGGGGGGAAAAAAAACGTGTACGAACGTTCGAACGCGACGACACGTTCCCCTCGTTGGACACTCGAGACCGCGATTTGCGATTACAGACGGTGCGTTATTACGAGACGGTAGAAAAAAAAAAGTAGAATGATGTGTTTGCTGGAATAATTCGCGCGATGACTGTGACCTCCGCGACAGGTTTACGCGCGATTATCCTAACGAGAATATAAACGGTTAAGGAATTAGCACATTGGAAACTAGGAATCAGCAATTTGTTTTTTCGTCGATTGGAGATAAAATAATTTAGAACTTTATGGATCTCTAAACTCCTCGTTAGGTTCGTCGACGATTGCCTTAACGAAGACGTATGTAAATCACCAGCTCCCATATTTGGAAATAACAATATTTCCGATCGAAGATAGTTCGTAATATTGGCGCGAAGTTTGAACGATCGAGAAAAGTTCGAAATGCTAGTTTCTCTAGGGGAAATATCGAAATTGTTTTAACCTCGGTTAGAGTTATTTTATACGAGAAACTTTCAACCTTGATTGCTGGGTGTTTCGATGAACGGATTAATGAATCGATATTTATAGCATGCATACTGAACGGCATTCAAATTTAATGCCGCGGAAGTGTTTTAATATCCATGAATGCAGAATGGTCACGGCGATATGAGCGGGAGTCACAACAACAAATGTAACAAATGAAATGGAAATTAATTGCGTAACTTTGGATACTTTTAAGATCGCCTAGCGCGAACTGTAATTGCATACAGAGACTATAAACGATTCGTTTTAATAATAGATTTGTTTATTCGATCAATTTTTAAGCGTTTGTGGTATAATTAAAATGTTTGAAGAGTGGTTTTTCTATCGTTTCGAGGTTCGAAACTTTAATGTAAATAAGAGTTTTGTACTTCGCGCCGAGTGGCGACGAAGGTAGCCGAAGATCAACGAAGGTTAACGATGGCCGGAGGGCCAGCCAGAATTATTCAAATAAATGAAAGTGTAAAGGTTGGTATTTGGGCCAACGTCGGCTATTATATATTATCCAGTCATATAATGAATGCTCGATGACTGAAATCACTGATTTTGTCTCTAATTTTGTCAAAAGTCAAAAGTTCTCAATATACAGGGTGTTTGGCCAACTCTGGGAAAAATTTTAATGGGGGATTCTAGAGGTCAAAATAAGACGAAAATGAAGAATATTTCTTGACTGAGGCTTCGTTAAAAAGTTATTAAAAAATTAAATTAAAAAATTTCATATCATTCTGAAAAAATTATTGTTACCTAGAGGGGTTAATTACAATCATTTTTGGTCAATAGACATACCCTCGAAATCCTACGCAGTTTTGAGAAAAAAATTCGATTGGGTACTGAAATTTTTAGACGAAATTAAAAAATTTCAAATCATACTGAAAAAATTATATTTAGTTACAGAGGTCAATTACAAGCATTTTTGGTGAATAGACGTACCATCGAAATCCTACGCACTTTCGAGAAAAAAATTCGAGAAGGTGTGAAATTTTTCGACAAAATTAAAAAATTTCAAATCATATTGAAAAAATTATATTTAGTTACAGATGGCAATTACAAGCAATTTTGGTGAATAGACGTACCCTCGAAATCCTACGCACTTTCGAGAAAAAAATTCATTACTAAAAATGTAATGTCTGACCATAAATGATTCCCCTGAATTTTCATGCTTATCTTTAAAACATCATAACTTCCGAACGGATCGGTCGATTTTAAAGTTTCAAAATGCAAACAACGCGTATTTTGGTGTAGAATATGTAGAAATTCTAATAATATAGCAAAAGTTATTCCTTGACCCCCTAAAATGAGAAGAAGCTCCCAAAAAATGGTCAAATTTTCAAACAGCCATAACTCCTACAATAGTGATGATATTTCAATGAAACTCTTTTCTGCAGTAAACATCATAGGTGCCTACAAAAAAGTATTAGACAACTTTTCTACAGAGCGTCAAACAAAATTATTAAAAATGAAAAACGAATTTTTAAGAAAGATCGACAGGGGGCGAAAAAGAAAAATTTCAAATCGTTCTAAAAAAATTATTTTCAGCTAGGAGGGTCAATTACAATCATTTTTGGTCAATAGACATACCCACGAAATCCTACTCACTTTCGAGAAAAAAATTCGAGAAGGTGGACATTTTTCGACAAAATTAAAACATTTCAAATCGTTTTGAAAAAATTATTGACGGTTGCAGGGGTCATTTACAATCATTTTTGGTCAATAGATATACCCACGAAATCCTGCACATTTTCGAGAACAAAATTCGAGAAGGTGTGAAATTTTTCGACAAAATTAAAAAAATTCAAATCGTCCTGAAAAAATTATTGTCAGTTGCGGGGGTCATTTACAATCATTTTTGGTCAATAGACATACCCACGAAATCCTGCGCATTTTCGAGAAAAAAATTCAGTACGAGTGAAACTTTCAACAAATTGGTATTTTTGATTTTCGTCTTATTTTGGCCTCTGGAATCTTCCATTACATTTTTACAAATACAGTGAAAAAACAATACATCCACACGAGGTGTTATTAATAAACTAAACAGTCAATAAAAAAAAAGACTCCAAAACTCAAAAATCTTAATGTACAAAATACTACCCCCAGACTGGAATTTCCTTTTTAAATGGTTATTTCACTACGATACCATCGATAAAATAAACACTTGATAAAAAAAAGAGTCCAAAGCTAAAAGTTACTACCCCTAAATGGAATTCAGATCTGGCTAAAAAATTTTTCTAGATGGCTACTTCGTTATAGCTTAAGAGCAATCTGAGCTCGAAAAACTCGCCGACACATCGAAAACGAATTTCGATTCTCCTCTACTCACGTTCTATGGTCTGCATTTTGGCATTCGGGGTACGTTCCACGCAGAAATCCGATTCGAATCCACAAGCTCGCGAGTAAATCCACGGGATGAGTCACCGACGGAGCACAAGACGCGGCGCAGCGAGCGACGAATCGCCGAAACCGGTCGCCGATCGACGAAAATACGACGGAAAACGAACGATTCTGGGACTGATGACCGTGCTGGTCACCGAAGAGGGTGGGGGAGGTGTGCACGAAGATCGGTAGGGGGTGGGGGGGGGAGTGCTCGAGAGGCAAGCCGCGACGCGCGTCCGATAGTAAAACGAACGAAAATGGAACGGGCACGGGCCCCGTGGCTCTTATACGCTCGGCGGGTTCGCCTTCAGGGTCGAAAAAGCGATACCGGACGGTTTTTCATAGACGCTCCCGTTGTTTGCGCCGGGATCTCCTTTCGACGCGCGGCGAGAAAACCCACGGCCCGTCCGCAAACGTTTCTTGTCCGCGAGAGAGGCCTCAGCTGACGGATGCCACGCACGGAGTGGGGTCGACACGCACGGAGTGGGGTCACCACGCACGGAACCGGGAGAGCCGTTCCGCGTCGTGGTGGGGACGACGTGATTCGGTGATCGAGTGGGAGATCGCGACGCGAGTTTCCAGACCGAACCAGGCGGTGGGCGGTGGGGTAAATGCATGACAAACGCGGTAAAAGACATTTTCTAACTGAAATCACACGTATACAGTGCTGGACGCAAGTATTGACGTGGCTGTGATGGTACTGATGCTTGCAACTAGGGAACAAATTGATTTGAAGGAAAAACTTGTTGACTCGATTCATTGAATGATTAATTGAAGCAATAATATACACACATTGATTCACAAAACAATGACAATATTTTATGGGTGGCACACTCGAATAAAAACATTTAAAAATGACTTGAAATTAAATGTTAATATTTAGTTGTACCTTCTTTCCTTTAATTGTTTGGACATTGAATCAACTAACTTTTTTGTAAAATCCGGCTCGATTTTGTTCCATTCTTCTAAAAGAATATTCTTCAAATCTGCTTTGTTTGTTATATGATGTTTTTTAATTCGTTTTTCTAACTCGTTCCAGACATGTTCGATAGGATTCATAGGAGAAATTCCAAAACATTCCAAAATTAAGAAATTGTAAAAAAAATTATGCCAAATCATGATCCGTGCGTTAGATATACGTATGAGTAAATTTTTCGTAGTGGGTATACTTTTTAAAAAATGACTCGTTACCATATTTTCGAGGCAACTGTGCGGTGGCGCGCGGTTTGACAAATCGCCGAGGCGGATGGAAGGGAAAATTGGAATTCGGCGCTTTGAAAAATTCGCGTGGCGGATGGGATTGCCTGTGCCGGGTACCCGCAGCGGTCGCCGATCCGTCACTCCCGTTAATGACTGTATTGCATGGAGATGGAAAGATTAGACCTGAGCGATGCTTCTCGTTCCCGGAGAAATCCGTCTCTCCCAACCATGAAATGTACGCGTCACGATACCGGTGCTATTTACCCTGCACCGACGAAAGGGCCGGGCTCCCGACAACGCTTAGAAATTGCTAAAAAATATACCATTCAGACACGGTGAAATAATCGCTAAAAATTGTTAAACAAGGAAACGAAAAGAAGGGAAACTTTTCTTACGAGCGTTGGATCCAAATGAGCTGTGCTTGTTTACGCTATGTATTGCTTTTATGGAGATCTTAAAAGTGAGCTTATATCGAGGGTGTATACTCTATCGAATACAACGTTGATGCAAAAATATTAAATTTACTGAAAATTACGCTCCTTTGCTAGAGTTCGAGCCAAATAAACTGTGCTTGTTTACAATATGTATTGCTTTTATGGAGATCTTAAAAGTGAGCTTATATCGAGGGTGTATACTCTATCGAATACAACGTTGATGCAAAAATATTAAATTCACTGAAAATTGCGGTCCTTCACTAGCGTTCGAGTCAAATAAACTGTGCTTGTTTACGCTATATGTATATGTCTTTTATGGAGATTTTAAAAGTGACCTTATATCGAGGGTGTATACTCTATCGAATACAACGTTGACCCAGAAATATTAAATTTATTGTAAATTGCACCCCTTTACTAGTGTTCGAACCAAATAAACTGTGCTTGTTTATGCTATATGTATATGTCTTTTATGGAAATCTTAAAAGTGAGCTTATATCGAGGTGTGTATATTCTATCGAATACAGTTGATGCAAAAATATTAAATTTACTGAAAATTACGCTCCTTCACTAGCGTTCGAGTCAAATAAACTGTGCTTGTTTACGCTATATGTATATGTCTTTTATGGAGATCTTAAAAGTGAGCTTATATCGAGGGTGTATACTCTATCGAATACAATGTTGATTCAGAAATATTAAATTTACTGAAAATTACGTCCCTTCGCTCTAACGAATTTACAAGGTGGCTTGAATTTTTTGCAATTAACATTTTCTCGTTAAAAAGTCAGGTGTGCAATTTACAATTAATTTTACGAGTCCAGATTGTATTTTCTCTTGTACATCAACGACTAGTAATAAATACATAAATACGACTGTTTTGGAATAGATTTACGAGAAATCTGCGAACGAGGAAAGATTTTTCAATGCCCTATGCCCTTTAAGGTTAGAAAGCACTCATCCATTGGGCGATTCGCGCACGATTGGATTATCATCGGTTTAAGAAATTGATGCCTCGCGTCTGGAAATTGGAATATGGCGCATCGGGTTACTTCCGCGGTAAATGGAGCGGGGAAGTGGGGCACGGCGTTTTCAGTTATTCGCGCGCCAAACAGAGTGAAGAATTCTACCAATACGCGGTGACTTATGCACTCCGCTAGGTGGCGCTACGATCTAACCATACCTATAGCGAAGTTAAGGCAGTTCGAGACTCCGGCTATCGCAAAGCGTCGCGGAACTTTTCGCCGTAATATCATAATCTCATTTGCAATGGTAATCGCGACAGTTTAAACATTTTTTACCGGGTGTTAATTTTCATTATTTACTTCCTTTCGATGGCGTTCGTGAAACGAGTCCTTCGATTCCTTTGCATGGAAAATTAACTTTTATATTTTTAAATAATCATCAAAGATTCGATAATTAAAATTTCCCTCTAGAGATTTGTTGATGAAATGAAAATAAACGCATAAATTGGTATTAGAAGGACAGCCTGGGCGATAAACAACCCGTTTCGCCTGGAGCTAATTGTAAATTTAAAATCGTCGCGCGCTGGAGAACGTTTCGATTGTTCCGGGCACGCGAAATTCAGGGGGTTCCCGAACTTTTAATCAACGCGTTCCCGCGCCCCGTTCGCTCGACGCCGCGGGGGAAAAACTGCGATTGTTATTTATTCGCGGCGACGGTCGTTTCCATCGATCGACAGTGCTGGACGATGACGGAAAACCGACGGTAGAATTGGCGCCAAAGCGGGTCCGCCACTCGTTTAATTATCGCCCCTCCGCGAAACAGTTTTCACGGAGTCCTCGAAGACGGACGATCGGTGGCGCGTGTTTCGAAATTGAAGTTAGAAATTGGTGGACCACGGTGGAAAGTGGAACCAGTTCTTTTTTTGGGGCCACCTCGAGCAAGGTTTTCTGGCGTTGTAAGAACGTCAAGGACGTATTTGACGTAACGACCAAAGAGAAAACTGGTATTTCGGTGGACGTGACATTTTAATCCGTGGACGAGCTTGATTCGGTTTAATTTACTCCGGTGAGTAGGTACTTGGCGTGTATATCCGAGGGCGAATGAAAATAATATACAGTCCGGAGCAAAAATATTCCCCTCGTTCTAGCTTCAAAAGTATGTTCATAGAAATGGTATAGCCGGATAAGATGGTCAAAAGTGCCCTTGAGCCAAACTGATCAGCGAACATATCAGTTAATAGACCATTCAAAGAAAACCATTTGTGTCAAATATCAACCCCGTACCCTTACTGAGAGGGTAGTTACAGGGCGTAACGCAATTTTCAGTTTAAGCTGTATATCTTTTGTTGTATCGTATCAAAGATTTTGAAAAAAATTGGGGGTATTTTGCTCTACGGCGTACGTGTTTGTGAATTTTTTCAGAATTTTTTCACCGCGAAATGGATTTTCAAAAAATTCGAAAAGTATAAAAATATTGTTTTTTAATAGAAATTATTAAACGACCACGTTTATATTTTTACAGCGTTAGTGTCTTGTTATGATCATTAATCTGTAATTTTTTCAGATTTTTAGAAATGTGGGAGCGATGTTGGAAAAATGAAAAACCGACATTTGCTTTTATTTTTACCTTAATTTTTGTTGCGACCATGTTCGTATTGTTACAATTTTAATAGCTTCTTACTGTTATAAATATATAATTTTTTGAAATTTTTTGTGGAGGTGTATCACGTACAAAATAATTATAAATCGATATTTCCTAAGTTTTCGTTCGCAGAGGAGTAATATATTCGGGTAATTGATATTTTTACTTCATCGAATGATCATTATATGCATGCATATATCTTCTGTTTATTGTACTATTTTTTGAACGTCTTTACGAGACGGTGAAAAACTGTTTTCTATCGTGAGATTCCGATTTACTTTCGCAATCTAGTAAATTATGGGGAAGAGAACTGTTTAAAATGGTACATATTAAACAAACTTGATGGGTGGAGTAATTTTATGTTTTCTGGTGACAGCACAACATCTCCCGGAAGCGATGGACGAGTAGAAAGTGTGGAGGAAGCGGAAAGAATTAATTAAATTTGTAATACCATGATCGGCCGCCTATCACTATGGAAATGAACGTTTATGACAATATTTCTGTGAAAAGTTCTTCTAATTGTAATAAATTTATAGCATGGACAGAACAAAATCTTAGAAAAATAGTCAAACTCGAAAATTGAAGAACATTTTACGCAAGAATTATTTTTGCGACGGACTGTATATGTGTATGCGTTGGTCGTACTGTGAATGGCAGAATAAATTAGTTATCATGTGAGAGCAAAAGTTGCTTTGAAGAGAAGAAGCCGAAAAATTGTCCACAATTGTACATTTCATACATGAGAAGACAATGTTTATATTTATTTGTCTAAGGGAGAAGAAATTACCCTTTGGTACAAATAGAGTAGAAAATTAGGGGTCTCTAGATCATTTCTAAATAGAGAGTTGAAAAGATATATGAGGAAATGTTATAAATATTGAACAGAATAGATTGCTTCGAATATAAATACCGTCCACTTTTTGTTAAATTTACGTTTTTATGATCGATGAGCTATTGGCTGTTTCCTTATAGTGTAAATATACCAGGCTTTGATCGAATGTATTTATTAACTTTATTGCAATGAATATTTACGTGCACATGTGTTCGTTACATGTCCCTGAACTTATTATTCTGTCTGCACGAACGTGTTGCGTATCTATAACAGTGCATCTCAATCCATAAATTCAAAGATGGAAGATTATTGTATTGGATCTCAAAGTGAAACGTTATTTAAGGTTTTGTTACGTTGGGAAATTGAATTTAAGT